TGCCAGCCTGTCCCATTGCCCCCCCTGCCCATCCCCTGCCTGCTGTCCCTCTCCCCCCTGTCCCCCTTCTCAGGTGTGAGGCGGGTGTCACCTCAGGCTCCTCTTCCCTTCCAAGCCTTGATCAAAATTGGGCTCAGGCCAGTGCTTGTCTCCAGGTGTGGGCTTGGATGTGGTTTTATTTATTTTGTTTTGCTTTTTAAGTCGATGTCAACCCACCAATAAGGCCGGCGTGTGTTTTCTCTCCCAAGGGATAAGCTACCAGAGGGTGGGGGAGACGTGAAATGCAGCTCTCTCCGTGTCTTCTTCTTCTCTTCCCCGCTTTTAAGCCCAAAGTTGCAGAGCAGGGGGGGCTTCCCAGCTGCGCCTTGGATTGGGGTTTAAATTGTAAGGTAAAAAGGCCGCTGGAAGCGATTGTGCAGGGTTAATAAATGCTGTTCCACCCTCCCTGCTCTGTGGGACTGGCTGTACCCCAGGCTCTGGGTGCTGCCGGTGCCTCGTTGACCCTAAACCTGCACCCCCTGAAGTCTGGAGGGGCTGAAGATGTCTTGGCGTTTGTTCAGGGTGTTTTTCCTCGTGGCTGTTAATTCCACAAACTGCATCGAGTTTGGAGCCAGCCCTCACTTTGGCTCTCTTTTATTTTATTTTTTTTGTGGTGTTGGGTTCTTATCCTTCTCAGTTGCATTAACTGCCGAGCTTTTTCTGGAGGTTGTGTGCTCCTTGCGATGTTTTTCTGTGGTTTGATGAATTTTTAGGGTGTTTTGAAAACACTCTGTGGGTTTTTTTCATGACTCTAGTTTGGGAGAAGGGTGTGTGTGTAAAGGAACAGGAGAGGTGTCTGTGGGTGTTGGAAAACAGCTGAGGGAAGAGACAGTGTGTAATCAGGGTAGCAGGGGGTTGGTATAATCATACCAACAACCTGTGGGTGAATGGATTTAAAAATAATCTTGGGATTGGGTGTCTAAAACACCAGGGCTGGATTCTAGGTAATTCTGAGCATTTCCACATCCTCCTGTGGGATGTGGGATACTCAACGCTTATTTTTCTTTCCCCCAGCAAATCGAGGTGATAGTTTAGCACCCGTGAATCTTGAGGAGAGCTGCTGTGGAGCAGGGACCGGGACTGTCCTTGGGGTTGGATTTCAAGAGGAACCCTCTGGCCCTGGTGGTTGCTTCAGGCGGGGGAGTTTGAGCCCTTGATTAACCCAACGCTGCAAGTTGGGAGCTGCAAGTCCTGGCTTTTTGCTGGACCTGCAGCTTGTGGACCGACTCGGGCAGTCCCCGCTGCGTGTCTCAGGTATTATCTGCCGGCTTAAACTTTGCTTCGAGAGGTTAAATAAAACGTAAGGTGAGCAGGAAGGCAGCCTGGAGTGTGTAGTTACCCGGTGAAGCTGAAGCAGATGGGCTTGGTACAGGTCCGACAGGTTTGTCGTTCGAAGAAAGCTCAGGAACCAGGAATAATTTTCTTCTAGTAATTTTGCCGCTAATTGCAGGAAGGTGCATTCAGGTTCCTACCTTCCTTATGTGAAATCAATACCAATACTTCACACGGCAGCGCTCTTCTCTGTTTTCCAGGTGATATCTAAGTCTTTCTGGGAGGTTCCTTTTTGTGTTGTGCAGAAAGGTGAGCTGAAATGCCAGCGGTTACTCCGGGTCACGAAATAAAGGAGTGTTGGAGGAGCTCTTTCCTCTCTGGTTTTGCCTTAAATCCACTAAGGATGAAGTTGTGTCTGTGGCACGCTGCTGGGCTCCAGTTACTGTAAGGTAATCAAACTTAATTGGAGTCTGCGGAGCTTGGGTTAAACAGAGCTGATGTTTAACTTTGCCTTAATTTTTGGACGATTTGGAGTGAGTACGACAGTGGGGTGGGTAACTCCCTGTCTTGTGTGTCTCCTTAAAATGTGGAAAGCTTTGCTGTTAGGAAATGACACCTGTGTGGCACCCGTGGGGGTCCTTCTGCTTAATGATAGACAGTGGGGTGGGTAACTCCCTGTCTTGTGTGACTCCATGGAAAGCTTTGCCGTTAGGAAATGACACCTGTGTGGCACCCGTGGGGGTCCTTCTGCTTAATGATAGAAGATTTTAGTTCTTTATTTCCCTTTTTTTAAATTATTATTCTTGTGAAGATTTTAGTTCTTTATTTCCCTTTTTTTTAATTCTTGTTTTTCCTAGGCAATTTAAACTGCTGGGGTTTTAGAGCAGAGATCGTAATTATCCGTTATTGTGTTGAAATAGTTCCTGGCAAAGATTGCTCGTGTGTTGACGGGGGGTTGCCTGGATTCCAGATAATCTGTACTCAAAAAATTACATCTGTGGTGGGATGTGTCACCTTGGGACGTCGTGTGTGCCCGTGGTGACCTTCAGGTGACTGCATCGAGGATCCCCTGATGGAAAAGCTTGTCTTTGCATGGGCCTGCAGGAGCCTGCTGACCCAGAGATCCTATATCGTATTTTATTGTCATTTCTTTATGACGTTACCCTTGAGAAATCATTTTGGAGAGGAGTCTTCAAGCTGGGAGGATGCTCGGAGTTGTGTGTGTGTGTGGTTGGTTATTTGGCTGTTTTCCTGCCTCCTGTTCCCAAAGGAAGGCAATCCCTGGCTGACACACAGGGTGGGTGCAGCAGCAGGTCCCTGTCACCCCGTCCCCTTGTGCAGATAAAGCCCTTATCTGTCTTGCAGATAAGAACCAGTCCTCTGTTTCTGGCTGTGGACAGCAGAATTGAGGTGTTCCCAGCAACACTCTCCTTTTAGCAACTGGAGAATGAAAAAGCAGTGTGTTTTGTTTTGGTTTTTTTTTTCCCCTTGCCAAGATTTTCCTCTGTTGGAGGCTCGTGCCTTCCTTCCACGCTCAGTCTTGGGCTCCTGAATAATGCATTTGGCTCTGCAAGCAGGGGGTTGCATTTAACCACTTCTGGGTGTCCAGCAACTGGCTTTAACTCAAGTCAGATAATCTAAAACCACGCAGAGAATTTGTATCTTTATCCTTGGTTTTATTGGCAGGCTTGCCTTACATCTGGCCGAGGGAGGCAGGAGGAGCATTTGTTTTGTGCTTTGGAGCTAAGAAAGCATGTTAAAAAAAAATAAATTAAACTCTTCCAGATATTGTAATTTAGTGAGTCTTTTTGTCAATGATTCCTTCAAATCACACTAAGGGTTTCTGTGCCGACCTTTGAAGGAAGAAATGCAATGGACTATTCATAGCTGATGTTTTGGGATCGGATTTGTACGCGGCTGGAAGATGAATGTGACTGAAGAGAGTTGAGTCTGCGGGGCATATCTGGTTTTGATTTTTAATGGCTTAATCAAACTGGAAGGCAAAGATGGACCTCAAGGGGCTGTCTAGTTATAGCTCATCCCCCTCTTCTGAGTGTTTCAGTCCTTTTTCTTTTTTTTTTTCTGTGATGCTTTTGCTCTAAGGGTGAATTTAAGGCTGCACTAATCTCGGCTCTTACCACGTCTCTCTCTCTGTCAGGCTCAATTGCTCGGTTTAACAATTGAAGGAAACCTAATTGAGCAACTTCCCTGGGTGCTGTTTAACTTCAGCCTGCCTGGGAAACGTGTGAAAATTTCTGCTGGAACTCTCTTGGTTTTCTTTTCTTTTTTTTTTTTCCCCTCTAATTTAATTATAGGCTTTCATTAGTGATGTTAACAACATAATAAAAAGAAAAGAATTAGGAGCTGGGTAGCTGTTGAGTAACGAGGAAGCTGGTGTGTCTGAATGGAGTTCTGTGAGTGACTTCACCTGAATTAAATTGACGTTCTGCCCCAGAGGTGAACTGTGGCTTCACCCACGTTGGTGTGACAGCAAGCGTGGCAGGTGCTGAACACAACACCCGATTGTTGAATAAAAAAAAATAGTCTTCGAAGATTCTGTATCCACCTTGTTTTGTCTCCTCGTTTGGGTAACGATTAGAGGGAAGTGGGTGGCAGGACCGAGTCGCCCTGAACGACTTTTGTAATTTCTGCCGGGGTTGTTCGAGGAAAAAGCAAATATTTCTGAGCAAATCCCTGCCCTTGGGTCCCGATAGCTGATGGTGCTGGCTGTTTGCTTTGCGGTGGATCTGCTGTTCCTGCTGGAGAGATGATGTTCTTTGGGAAATCTTGGTGCTGTTTGTGACAGGTCTAAATTCCACCCGAGAAGAGCAGACAAACATGTTTTTCAGTAGCCAGGCGTTGCGAGCTGGTCCCTGGGCGGGATGCCCGGGCTCCTCCTGCTTTCTGACCCTGTAGTAACACCAAAACTCTAATGCCTGGCTCTGCTTTTGTACTAAAGGTATTTTTCTATGAACAGGTAGTTTGGGTTCTGCCCGGGTGTTGGCAGAATGGGAGTGGTTGGGGAGTTGGTGAAGCCTGGAGAGGATGTGCAGTGGGATTCCCAATTTCTGCCTCCACTGGTGCTGATTTTTGTGCAAACTGCACGTCGTCTCCTTCCTGCAGCTCCTGGAAGTTGGTGGTGTTGATCTGCTCGTGGAAAGCGTGTCCCAGGCTGGTAAAATACATAAAGGAGGAATTTCAGGCAGTTTGGGCCGTAATGATGCGAAGTCAAACTTTTAAATAAGGTTCAATTTTGAGATCATAGAATCATAGAATGGTCTAGGTTGGAAGAGACCCTTGGGATCATCGAGTCCAACCATCTCCCCTACTCTACAAAGTCCTCCCCTACACCATGTCCCTCAGCACTGCATCTAAACGGCCCTTAAACACAGCCAGGGATGGGGACTCCACCCCCTCCCTGGGCAGCCTGTTCCAATGCCCTATCACTCTTTCGGTGAAAAATTCTTTCCTAATGTTCAATCTAAACCTACTGCATAATGACCTGCAAGCTTTTACTTTAGCACATGATTTTTTTTGTACATGCCCCTAACCGGAGAGTTTGTGCTTATTTCTTCGTTGTGATGCTGGTCTCTGAAACTCATTGGCTCTTCTGCCAAGGAACTAATTATTGTAAAGCTGAGTCATTTAGAATATGTTCAAATGAAAGAGCTGAAATGCAGTATCGTGGTTGGCTTCAGGAGCATCTTGGACAGACAGAGCTGTTTTTTCTCTCAACATCCCCCCCCACCCCAACCCGCTTTGGGCGATGAACTGGCACCTGCCTGTAAGCCATCCTTCCTACTGGGTTGCTTTTATCATCGGAATAACTCGGGTCTGTCTGGCCTGTCCTTTTAATCAAAATCACCGCCAAGAAAAGCAGAATGTCTGGGTTGTCAGAGAGTCAATTTGACAGCTTGATTGAACTTGCTCAGGTATTCATTAAGTGCCGCTGGAGAGAGCCGGGAGGAGGGGAAGGGACGACTAACAATGCTCTGGTTTTTAATGTGTATCCCCTGCGTCTCCCTGTACGTGGGGAATGGGACTTGTTTTGGCACAGAGATGGTTCTGAGGTTTCTAAAACACCCAGAGAGGGTCCCGGGGCCCAGAGCAGTGTCACAAAACAGAGCTCCACAGCTCAGGTCATCATTTTGTTTAAAACACCAGAATCTGAGCTTCCCTGATTCCTAGCCCCATCAATAATCGTTAATCTGGGCCCGCCAATTAGCACGGCTCGGTTGCAGGCAGTGTTTTCTGATGGACTTGAAACTGGATACCCGCGTAAGTGCTTTGTCCTTTCAGTAAACTCCCATGAATTTTGTTGTTAAAAGCACAGCGTATGTTACTCATTAAACCTCTTTAACTTTTGAACTCGCCTTCCCCAGCCGTTTTCCTTTCTGGTGATACATTCTCCGAGGGGAAGGGTTTGCTCTGCAGCGTGTGGTGCTGAGGAGCCTGCACCCAGACGTGTGACAGGGACCCCTGTAACTACAGTATAAATAACACAGAAGTGTGTTATAAAAAAATAAATCTAATCCCCAGCTATTTTTTTTTCCCTTGTTTCCTGTGGCTTTGTAGACGTAAGTAGTGACTGTGGATGGGGCTACACAAAATACGAGGATTTAAAAAATATCCAGCTGCTCCCGGGGTTGGGTTTGAGTGGATTAATTGATGAGCGAGCCCGATTGCTGCCTGTGCAAAAATAATTTCTGGCTTCTAATGGGCAGGCACTAGGAATTCACGCTGAAAGTTTAAAGCCAAGCTTTGCTCTCGGCAGCTCCAATGTGTGTTGTTGCTCATAATTCAGGGAATAACTCTCCCCCCCTTCATCAGAACCCGGCCCAGCTCCAAAATGAAATCAAGCTGCATTGCTTTGTAGAGGGCAAATGCGAATAAAAATCAATAATAAATGCTGGTTTTACATGTAAACCTCTGCAAGCGGAGGGCCTATATTTATATAGAGAATGCAGGCAGTTTTAATCTATAAAATTAAGGATATAGACAGGTGTTTGCAAGATCGGGGCATTGGCCACTAAAAATAATAGAATATCATCTCTGAACAGGATCAAAGTAAATATTGTTGAGGAAATGGATGCCATCGTTATGCACGTGCATGTTCTGAGATACGTCCAGGTTTAATAACATTGGGTTTGTTTTTAACATTTCCTGTTAGTCATCTCTTTCTCAATCGCCTTCCCAAATCGTGTTTTAAAATAAAAGTTGCATATGGCATTCCTGAGCTCTTTGGCATCGTTGCTATTTTTGTGGGCTTATTTTTGGTAGAGATGAATCTGAGATTGTGACCTACATTTCTTTATTTGAGATAGCCGGGGATGATACCCCCACCTGTGATTTCCTTCATGCTTTTGCTGAAAGGCATTGTTTTAGGGTAGATTTTCAAGGAACGGGAGATAAGGAAGTAACTACAGAGAGTTATTAGAAGTAACGGAGAGTATTTATTACAGAGTTTACAGAGAGTAATTAGAAGTAATCAATGGGCTGTGTTCTTGAAAGTAATTTAATGACTTTATAGTGTTATGAATCACCTTTGGTCTTGATCCGTGCGGGAGTTTTTGTTCACACGGTGTGATGTGACCAAGTTTCTGTGGCAGAACTTTCCGAGTTGATGGTTTTTATGTCGTGCTTTGGACTATCAGTTGTTCTTTTCCATTAAGATCTCAAGTTATTCCTCTCCGAGCAACATCTTGCCATCTCCTCGATCGGGGGAAAAGCACCCTTGGGAGTTACAAACACCTGGAGAGGTGGCTTCCCAAAGCTTTAGTGATGTGATGCTTGGAGTGAAAGGTCCCTGGGTGGGTTTGTCCTGCTGTGGGCAGAGCGTGGGTCACGCAGGGCTTCGTCATCCCAAATTGGTCACGCACCGGTACCGCCGCGGCTGAGCTGCCTCCACCTTCCCCTCCATCTCTGCCGCCTCCGAGGGGGCTGGGAAGTGAAGCCTGGCACTAATTTATGAGAGTGATGTTGGGGGGGAAAAAAATAATAGGTCAGCAAGTATGAAAGGTGCTGACAAGCATATAATATCTAGCGGTTGTTAAAAAGGGGGGGGAAAAAATAGTCTTAAGACGGCCTTTCAGCGTCAGCAGGCTGTTGTGCCTGAGGTGTCCTGGGTGTCAGAGCAGGGCAGAGGTGGTGGAACTTGCTGGAGATGTGGGAAGGCTGGGGCAGAGCTGGGGAGCAGTTGGGGAATGCAGATTTACTAATTTGCACAAAGGAAGGTAACAAAAGAAAGGTGGGCTGATTGGAGCTGGCTCGTTGCTTAGAAAACCCATCTTTGTAGCTACACACTCTGCTTGTGAATGGATTGAGAGCTCGGAGGGTCCACCTTTCTGAGCCAACTCAAGTTTTTCAGACTTTAGGTTTCATTCCTCCATGTTTAAGGATGAAATAATTGCATCCTGAAAACCAGAAATATTAAAACTTGGATGCTACAGTGATAACTGCTATTTAAAGCGTTAACTCTGCATTTATACCCTGCAGCTGAGGTTGGACTGACCTTGCCTTTCATGAGGCAAGTGAGAGCCTGGATCACAGCAAAAAAACATCTGTGCAAACTGATTCACTGGCTACAAACACACGTGTACGTGGCAACTGTGAAAAAAGGGAGTTCTGAAATCACTGATGTGCTGCTCGGTCAAATGGCCGGCCTCACCAAAATAGCCTTTATGGCACGTGTGAGGCATTGGATCCATCTCTTTCCTAAAATAACCTCCAATTGCTCATGGCAGCCTTTTGGGACTTACTGCTGGGACTATTTTTTTCCCTTTTGCAGGGCTGGGTTTTAAATTTCTCCACGCCTTCTCCGGTATCTGGATGCTCAGCAGTCCGGGATGAGTAGGAAACAAAACCCTCCCTGTAAGCGATGGGAGAGGACAGGGCAGGTTCTGACTCTTCTCTCTAGAAACTGTGGAGATTTTGATGTTGTAACTTGCAGCCGAGATCCTCGTGGGCTGGAGAGAGTGAATATGATTGGTGCTATGTAAAAATCACATCAAAGTACCCCCCTACACGTACACTTGCAACGTTTAGGAAGGAAATGGCACTAGGATCCTGGAAATGCTCCTCAGGTGGGAGCCTGGGATGGGGTTTTTCCTACTGACAATGGCCCTGGAAGTAGGTGGTTCTTCCTTCCTGTATAAATTTTTTTATTACCAGCGTATTTCCTGCTTTTGACACTAATTCTTGCTTCGTTGTTTTCCATTTAGGAGCCGTAGCTCTTCTGCCCACTTGTAAGTGTGACTGGTATGGGTAATGGTGTGAGAGAAGGTCCAGTGGATTTCAAAGGGCAGGATGTGGAGCCGGTTACGTCAACCCACCTCCCGTCAGAGGTAAGGGCAGGAGGTCGTTGGGAACCCACGTGTGGTGGGTTTGAGAGAGGAGCTCTCAGTCCTGGAGGAGCTGCAGGGTGTGTAGAAGCCACAGAACGTGTAGCTTTTAGTTCCTCTGAGGACAACCAAGGAGTTCCAGCTGCTGGGACCAGGCTGAGAGGCAGGCAGGGCTGCCGGCTGCCTTCAGGGTTATGTCTCTTCTGCCTTTAATGGCAGAGCTGGACCAGAGCCACCAGTCTTGCTCTCCCTGCTCCTGCAAGAAGCCCTGGAAGGAGGTGCTGAACCTTGGTCTGATTCAGACCAAAACTCAGGCTGAAGTTCAGGCAGTGCTGCCTTTGCATGGCTGCCCTCGCGTTCAGCACCAAACAGGCAGGGACCGGAGGGGAAAATTGAACTGAAGCACGTATTTTGGTAATAAAAATTAACTTTTTAGCCGTGAAACGTTCTGCAAAAAGAAAAATGTTAACTCCTCTGTTCCATGAAAACGCAGAGCATATCAAAAGTTAACATTCTTAAGCCTTGCCTTGACTTGTCTTTCAATCCGTAGCCTTCATGGTGTTAGATTTCGAGTCATTTACTTCCTTTCTGTTCGTGTCTTACGAGAGCATCACTGCTTTATAAATATGAGCTGTGGCAGGGATGTCAATAACAAAAACACTCCCATTCCATTTATCATAATAGGCAACCTGTCTCATTTCATTCTTAGGATCCTGGGAACGATGTGGAAATAGGGCTTGTGTGTTACTGGAAGGACGAGAGAGAAACTTCCCTTCTGTACATGGCTAAATCATGAGGGGGCAGTGGCTTAGCTTTCAGAAATCTTAACTGGGAGAAAACAGTACATGTAAGAGGTGGCAGATCTTGGCAGACAAATCTAATCTTTGTCCTTTGTGATCTGAGCAGGAATTTATTGTGCTTGAAATTTTGAATTTTGACCCAAGTCTTTGAGAGGGGGTAAATTCTGCAGTGAAGGTAAAATATCACAACTTCTTCTTAGGCTTGACTGTGTCATACTGAAAAATGCTTTGTTGCAGGATAACCAGGAGCAGAAGAAAGTCCTCAACTCCCTGATGTCTGGTGCGTTGGCTGGTGCTGTTGCTAAAACTGCAGTAGCTCCGCTGGACAGGACAAAAATCATGTTTCAAGGTGAGTCCCGTTGGCTTTTGCAAAAAGCTCTTCTTTATTGTTAGCAGAATCCAAACCAGCCTCTCCTTTCTCCTGCTTTGTCCTCCTTCGGTCCGCAGAGACCTGGTGGGATGTGGACAGAACAGTGACAACGTGGTGGTGAATTGAGTCTAAAAACCCTTATTGTTTGATTCTGGGTAGCATTATTGCAGGTGTCAATCAGCTCTGCATCGGGCCCCTGCTGCTGGATCCAGGGCTGATGGTCCTCAGCAAGAGTTTTGCCATTTCAGGGCAATGGGGATGCACGTATTGCTGGCTGGGGACAATGCCTGTGGCTGGTGCCACGTATTCTGTGACATAAGGGACACTTTTGGGTTGCAGAGTAAATAAACACTGTAAAGGCAGCGTTTTGGTTGGTAGCTCTGGGCTTCTGTGTCTGTTCAGAGGGAGAAATAAGCCAGGGAAAGGAAAGGAACAACATGAGATGTGGTGATGCTGGAGGGAGGTCATTGAGCTGTTTGAGTTTCTTGCTAGGCTGTGCCTGCTGAAATGTGCACAGTCTTTTCTACTCCGAGTTGCCTTATTTTGCAGCTGAACTGTTGTTATTTTTGAGTTAATGATGTTAATGATGAGACGTCCTGGGAGAGGGGTGGAAGTTGGCGTCCCCAGCTTTGTGTTGCAGAGCCCTTTCTGGAACCCGGGAGGTATGTCGCTGGAAATGAAAGTCAGCTAATTGGAATGGAAAATTCTCAGCCGTTTAGTGGGATTTTGGGAATCAGCCCCATCGTGGGCTCTGTTGGGTTCCCTCATTCCAGCTGCATTCATCGTCCCGAGGGACAGAGCGCGGGCGGTTAATACAGTGGACATTTGGTGAGGCCAAGAATTTTAAATCTGGTCGACATCCCAGATTAAATGAATTGGGTGGGTTTAATCTAATCCCTGGATGGGATTTAATTTTGAATTGACTTTGATTTGACGTGATTTTTTCATTCTGAATATAGCAGGGGCTGAGGCCCGGGGTGGCGGGGCAGGGGATGAGGGAGGTGAAGCCGCGGGGATCAGGGGGCTGGCTCGCGCAGCGCTGCGTACGTGCCGTGCTTTCTCCCCAGAACAAACCCCGCGGGTTCATCTGAGGTTGGAAATGTCAGGATCAGAGGTGAGATGGAAACGGCGGGGCCGGGGTGAGTCAACAGCTGTCTGTATAAATCACCTCTCGTTTGTACAGGCCTACGTTTATAAAAAGACCTGTTTGGTTTGGCCCGTTAGACTCGCTGCAGAGGATGTGTTTAAAGCTTCCCTGTTTTGACCAGTTTCTTAGTATCTAATGGATTTCTTGGTCTCCTTGGTAAAAACATCTCCTGAAGGTTCTTACTGTGGGGCCTCTTCTGCATCTGTGAAGGAGGGAAAGCGTCTTTGGGTCACACAAGCTGGGAAGTTTGTCCCTTGAACTAGAAACTGGAGAATTTCCCTGTGGGAAAAGGGAAAAGAGCTCTTCTCCATTCCAGCTGCAATTGGTTATTGAGGTGTTTTTCTTTATTAAAAACACGAAGTAAAAAAAAAAAAAAAGAAAGTGTTGAATTGCATAAAGGAGCAACGTGGTGAAAATGTATTTGCATGTGATTGTTTGATACACTCGAGAGGTTACAAGTCTCAAAGGAGTTAGCAAGAAACTGCAATAGACACTTAATTGGAACCACGTTTCATTAGTGTTGCTGTTGGGGTTTTAGCCTGGGTTGCCTTCCTGCTGGAGGAGTGTTACAAAACAGAGCTGCCGTATGCCAAATAAATCTCGTTTCCAAATGCCTGCTGGATGACACAGTTAAAGAGATGCTGTCAGTTTGAATGGAGGCAAGGAAAGAAACTCGAGTGTTCATTTGGAGTTTTGCTGGGCTGAAACCAGCCTTGCGTGGAGCCTCACTAAGCAGCCCCGTCGGTGCTGCGTGCGGCGTTAGGCTGGAACCTGCGCCTGGAAACGCTCGACTGAAGCGGTCGGTGCAGTTTTGCATTTATTTGTTTTTTAATTTATTTTTTATTTATTCGTTTATTTTTAGCGCTTGAAAGTAAGAACTGTGCCGGAAACTGAGCGTTTTCGTAACAGTATGTCCTGGTTTGAGGCCCAAAGCACAACAGAGTAGGTGGAAAAATGAACTTAGATGCTAAAGAGAATTTGGGAGCGTTTACCTATTAGAAAGAATCTCTATTTTCTCTTGCATTAATTCTTCTGCTTCTATTTTTATCCCTTAGATAAAATGCCTGTATGGTTTATTTGATCCCTCTAAATGTACTGCAAGGCCTAACGCTCATTTTTTTCTTTTTAGTGTCTTCAAAAAGATTTTCTGCCAAGGTGAGGTGATGTGTCTGTCTCCTGTTGACCTGAAGGGTTTGATTAATGGTAGTAATAGCCCTAACAGCACCTTTTCTTTGTGTTTGTTTAACTTCCTTGCTTGGGTTTGATGAGCAGCACTCGCAGTGACAGAGCATGGAGGGAAAGACTGAAAAACAGTCTCATTTATAATATTCCTTAGGACAGTGCTCTTTAATGTTCATGTTTTTATGAACATGGCACTGAGGGGTTCAGCCCTGCTTTATGCTCCAGACCCTACCTGTGAGATGACAACTCAGGGCTTTGTTTTATTAGACCTTCTCTGGTGGTTTTCTTTCCCCTCAACCATCACTGGAGTTGTTCCAGAGCCTGTAGGAGATGGGAATTTGGGAGCTGCTTGCTGCCCTGGCTTGCTGAATGTCCTGTTGCATGTGCATTACAGCTGTTCTGCGTGTGCTGTGCTAATATCTGTAATCCAAATGTTTCTGTCTTGTACTAAGAAGATTAATTTGGGTTGGGAAACGGTTTGTGCAAACAGCAATCCGGCCCCGTGCCTTGCCCTCGGGGGGGGAAAATGAAGATGCCTTGAATGCAGAACTCAGTTTTTCTGACTCGGGTTCCTTTTAGCTCTAATGTGTCTGATTCAGACTCTCCGGAGAAGAGGTTTTAATTGTTTTATTCCGGAGTCGGGGTTTCGAGCACAAACAGCTGCTGTCAGGGCTGGGGTGGGAAGGGAGGGTTTGGTGAGGTTAAGCTGTAGGGTCACCTTTTCCCCCCCTTCCATTGTTTGGAGTCCCTCTTATCGTGATCTCCCCGCCTGACCTCTGATCCCTTGCCTGCAGGAAGCCTACAGGCTGATTTATCGCACCTACCTCAACGAAGGCTTCTGGAGTCTCTGGAGGGGCAACTCGGCCACCATGGTCCGCGTCATCCCTTACGCCGCCATCCAGTTCTGCGCCCACGAGGAGTACAAGCAGCTCCTGGGGAGTTACTACGGCTTCCAGGGAAAGTAAGAGGCAGCGTGGCTTTTGAGCCTGGTGGAGGAGGCTGGAGAAGTTGGTGGGACCAGTAGGTCGTAGGGAGGGAGCAGGTTCCTCTGCTCTGGGCAGACCCCCCCGAGCCGAAAGCTCTTTCTTTGCAGAACAGGCTGTGCGAGGGGTCTAAGCAAAGGGCTGGGCTTCTAGGCTTGCACAGGGGAGATCTTTGTGGGGAGAAGACCCTGTCTTCTAGAGGCGTGAGCAAGAAGTGGCCTAGACATTGAGTTAGAAAATCAGAGAATGGTTAGAGTTGGAAGGGACCTTAAAGATCATCAAGTTCCCTGTGCTGAGAGTGGGCAGGCAAAACAAAGAGCTGTGCTTTGCAGGAGAAGCAACGAGATCCAGCCTTGTGCTGTTCCCTGTGGCCTGAGCTTCTCACTCTTGGGCACATAGTGTCTGAGACACCCCGAGTCAGGCTTGTTGCCCTCAACAGAGATTTCCTCTGAGCCTCTGTATTGAATGGCTGTGGCAAACCACAGCTGCTCCAACCCCCCCACACCCAGCTCCTCAGGACCCAGGCAGGGAAGGGATTCGGTAGGAGGTAGACTAGAGCCGTGCTCAAAAGCCACGTAGCATTTCCATCTCCAGGTGATGTGTTTGGTCTCTTCTCTCACCTTACTTTAGAGCGCTGACACCCTTTCCTCGATTCATTGCTGGCTCTCTGGCAGGCACAACGGCTGCCATGTTAACCTACCCCTTGGATATGGTCCGTGCCCGAATGGCTGTCACGCCGAAGGAGATGTAAGTGCCTAACGAAAGCAAGTACAAGCACCGCCAACAAACGGCAGAACTTTCTTTTTAAGGTCAGATGACTTTTATTCCCCGTTTTCTGGGTCACTTCTTGCTCGGAGCCTTTGGTGGAATAAACCTCTTACCATTGGGGTCTGAGCGCTGATTAAATCACCAGAGCCCTGGTTAGTCCCGGGGCTGGAAGGAGATCGATATAGAAAGACCTCGTGAGTAAAAAACCTGGTTTGTTGGTTCTTTGGGAGGGCAGTTGGCACCACATCTCTGGGAGAGATCTGACAGACAGGATGGCATGTCATGATAGGGCTCTAGGAGAGCCGGTCACTGGCTTCTCCATTTGCAGACAGGCTTCTGAAATCCCTCCTGAGCTGTTTGATGAGCTCAGAGCCGAATTAATTAATCATTGATCCTTCAGAAAGCCCCGTTGGAAATATTCCTGGTGTGTGCAGTCACTAACCAGAGCAGGTTTGATTTTTCTGTGTCCACGTGCCAGGTACAGCAATATTGTTCATGTCTTCATCCGAATATCCCGCGAGGAAGGCCTGAAGACTTTGTACAGGGGGTTTACACCCACCATCCTTGGAGTGATTCCGTATGCTGGGCTTAGCTTCTTCACCTACGAGACGCTGAAGAAACTGCATGCAGGTAAAGGCAACTTGGTTTGTTTTGAAACAAAATGGTGAAAAGGCTTTTGGCCAACTTGGGATGTTTGAATTGAGGGGTGTGAGTCCTTTTCCTGGCCTGGAAGCCACTTGCACAGTTGTGTGTGTGTGTGGAGGATGCCTTGTGCCTCCCTCTCTCCGATTCCAGACTCTGAAGAAGGCAGGCAGCAGGAAAAACAGTGTTTCTGTCTTGCAGAGGAGCGAGAAGGTGCAAGCCCTGGGTGCAGAAGGACTTGGTTCCACACCAAGTCAGCCAACAACCAAGTGGGGGGGAACAAAAATCTCAGGAGCCCTGGCACTCAGCCCTCTCTGGCTCTCAGCCCACTTGACCTTAATCGTGTGTTTATTCCAAGAAGCTTTCTCCACTCTGCCTGCTTTCTCTTTCCCAGATCACAGTGGGAAATCCCAGCCATCCCCTCCGGAGAGGCTTTTGTTTGGTGCCTGCGCTGGTTTGATCGGGCAGTCGGCCTCTTACCCCCTGGATGTGGTTCGCCGACGGATGCAGACGGCGGGGGTTATGGGACACACGTACAGTTCCATCCTTCTCACCATGCAAGAGATTATAAGAGAAGAGGGACTAATCCGGGGCTTGTACAAAGGACTCAGCATGAACTGGGTCAAAGGTCCCATTGCAGTGGGAATAAGCTTCACCACCTTTGACCTGACGCAGATCCTTCTCCGTAAATTACAGCACAGCACTAATGTTGAAAGGTAGTAGCTTAATCCCCGCGGCCCTCGCTTGGGGAAAAGTCCAACACGTGTAGAAAAGAGCAATGCTAACGTTCCCTCACTTTGTCCCTGCTCTCCTGCAGCCCAGAACTTACCTTTCTTGTTTGTGGGTTGTTTGTTTTATTTTTTTTTTTCCTGTTGTTGGTGGATTATTTTTTTTTTTGTTTTACTTTTTAATGAGCCTCTGAATTATTTGGAAACCTCGACCTGAAACTAACCCTCTCCTAAAGAAAATTCTCCCCACAGTTCTGCAGAACTGAGTCCTCCCAAGTCGCTGCCTCACCCTTTTGGGTTACTCTTTGATACCAGGAGCGGAGCCTCTCAAACAAAAACGTGCTGCTGCTGCTTCTGGCTCCTCTCCTGGGCTCCTGTGGGCAGATGAGGATGAGGTGGATGAGGAAGGAGAGGCCTCGGTGCTGTTGGAATGAACCCCTTGGAATTTGGGAAGCGACTGCTGCTCCTGGTGGGCAGTTCTGAGTTCCTGACCCCGTGGGAGCTGGAGGCAGTCTGCCGAGTGCAATATTCCAGTTAGTCTGGAGGGAATTCCAGATTCCTCTGACCTGGGAGCATCAGTCTCCAGGAAACAGGACACTGCAGGGTTTAACAGGTCCGGGCCACTTCTTTTGGTCTGGAAGTTGAATGTGAATTGGGAGTTGAGTTGTCCTTGGAAATGCTGCCCTTTTTCAAATCTTCTTCTCATTTTTTTTTTCAGGGTTGAGTTGCATAAAATACCCCTTGCTCCGTGTCCCTCTGAGATTTACCAAAGACTGTAGACAGCAGGGGAGGAGAGTTCCGAGTGGTTTTGTAAATCAAATTCTCCTGTTTGTTGTCGGTGGTGTTGAGCTGGGGCTGTGCCTGGGTTCACAAACTGGATCTAGTCGAGCTGCAGTAGCCCTTTTGGGCCACCCAAACCCTTCCGTTGTTGTCCTCACGCTCTCAAAGGCAGTGTTTTCTGAGGGCTTTGGGCAGGCTGTGGTGTAGAATCACTAGAAAAGGAAGTGTTACATACTTAAAACTTAAGCAGTTTTGTCCTTCAGTATTATTGTTGCCGCTTAAGAACAAATGTCTCTGAGATACCCCTGGGATTTCCCTGATGAACATGGCCAGGACTGGAGCTGCTGGCCCTGCTTCCAAACAACCTCTCTGTCTTTTGGTGCCTGCTGTGTAGGTTGTGTCACCTCCATTCATGACTCCCCATCTCAACCCACTCCCTTTTATTCCTGGAATTCTTCTGGACCAGCTGGGTCCTTGGGAGAATGGGCTCCACAGCCAGTAGTTGACCCTTCAGAAATTATATCTAGTGCCAAGCATTTCCAGTTGCAGTTTGAAAATGAACGGGGCTTTTGGAGCTTCTATTTCAAATCCACCTGCAGGGAAATGGAGATCTGGGGGGTTGGTTTTGTTTTATGTTCCGTTCCTGTATTAAATTTGGAGCGCGAGAGAGGTCAGAGCAAACTTGAGACTTCTCCGAGAATCAGATTACATAAACCAAGATTAAAAATCCCTTTCCAGCTGATACAGTCTGCAGTGGGTACAGTCTGCAGTGGGTACAAGAAAAATAAGGCGTATAAAGCTGCCCTTCTCTGGTGTATTTTAGCTGTTGTAGTTTGAGCCTTGTGTCGCGGCTTCGTTAATGGGAACGGAGGTGATTGCACAATTGGTAGAAATAGCTTTCTCCTTTCTTCTGTCTTTGCACTTGTTCTTTGGAGCATAACCTGCTTCTAATGCCAAATATTTCCCTAGGAACTGAGCACCCACACTTCCATGGGGTGGAGGTGGAAAAGTATTAGCCTGGAACACCTGGGATCCATCAGACTGTAATGGTTGTGGATGGGCGGGGAATTAACCTCGGTGATTTCTGCCTCCGAGCCCACAAATCATGATTTCCATTGCGAAACTTGACTGCAGGCACTGATTGACCTTGTAATTAAGGACACGTTAGGTGTGGTGGTGTTTTAAGAGCCTTTAGAGATGATAGCCATGAATTCCGCGTGGTTTTTGCTCCCGTTGCTAATGGAGGAGGATCGGCTGTTGGCTTGGGTTGGGTGGAATTTTGTTTAGTCCTTTGCAAGAGCTCTTGATTTCTTTTCTCCAATGGAGAAGCCCATTACTTCTGCTCTTGCCTTTATCTTGCCTGGCCCAGTGAGGAAATACTAAGGTAGTTGCACCCTCCCACAGGAGTCAGGAGATGTCTGGGTGTAGGTGCGTGTCCGTGTGTCTGTACAATCAATCCGTGCCACCACCTCTCTCTGCTTGGAGGCTGCTGGGTTCAAAACGTGGTCCTTTCTGCACAGCCCATGGGTTCTGCATGAAGAAGGAGAGGAAGCTGAGGCATCCAAGGCAGAGTGGGCTCCTTTGCTCTGCCGCATGGTGGGACCTTGTCTTAGGAGATGCAGAGCATCGCTGAACCCTCGCGGCATCAGAGGTGGCTTCGTTCCTCCTGGGTCCTGGGCTGAGAAAGGATTTACACTGGATGAGTAGGCTCTTGTTTGGGACTGAATGGGAGGGCAGAGCACCTTCTGCCTCATCAGGAGTGTCGTTGGTGTGTTAAACTGAGGGGAAAGCCTGTGGAGGAGGGGGCTTCTGGTGGCATCACCCACCTGGCAGCTCATCTGGAGCCTGGGGACCCTGTGCTGAGAAACGAGACCTGAAGCACAGCCAGACCTGGAAGCCTTGGGCTTGGGGAAGTTGGTCCTTAATTAGCAGCTGCACCTGATTTGAATTCAATGGTATTTTAGCCAAACATGTGGGGTTTCTTTCCAAGTTTTGCAGGCTGAGTGTTTGTTCAGAGACAGATCTTTGAATTCAGCCTGTAATGGTTTTTGGTGCTTTTGTTTCCTGGGCAGAAGTGTTCAGAGTAACTGTGTGTTGCTGCTTTGGGTTGGTTTAAATAGCGCTTTTTCTTTTTTTGTTTTTTTTTCCTCCCCTTCCTTCTCTGATTTGAATGTAGAAAAGGAGAAACAGAATGTTCTCTTCCCTTCTCTTAATCCTTGCATGAATTGAGGCGCGTTCCAGGTCTCTCTGCTGCCTGGAATGAGTGCCCGAGGAGTTTTGGGCATGCGGATTTGGGAAGGGGGGGTGCCCATGTGCTGGCCAAGGAGGACCGTTGCCTTTAGCTCTGAGAAGGGAGCTGAGTCTAACAGGAATATTCTCTACTCCTTCTTTTCTTTAGAACTTATTTCCTACCCCAAATTCCCCCATTTTTCATTTTCCTCTTCTCCAATTCCTTGCTTTTATTTTTCAAGTCGTGTTTCTCACTGTTCCTTGATACGTTGCCTCCAAACATTAATTTGTGCTTTTTTTTTTCTTTCTTCTTGTCTGCTCCCTCCCCACTCCTGCACCTTTAGTCCCGCACTAGCACTTGGAGAAAATCAGGTCCAATGAAACGCATCCAAAAATGATAACAATGATTAAAATTGCAGCTTCGGTAGTGATGCCCAAACATCCCAAATAGGCTTCCCACTCGCCAGCAGGGATGCTTATATGGGGGGGCAAGAAGTTAAAGGCACCAGGTGATGGGGCAAAAGGTTCTTTTTTTCTTTTGAAAGGTTCTTGAACCCCTTGTCCAGCCCAGAGCCTTTGCTTCTCCTGGCACTTTTCCTTCACAGGCTGTGAAATGCTGCTGCTTTTTGTCCTTTCCTCTTTTGGTACCTCCAGGTGATGCCCGCTCGCTCGGGGGGAGCTCATCCTTCTTGGGGTGGGGGGGTCCCAGGGTTGGTTGGGGAACTTGACTATGTGAGAGGTGGGACCTGAGGTGGCTTCTTGCAGACCCCCTTGCCCTGCATGCCCCGTGCAGACCTTCTGCCTGTTCCTTGGGGAGGCAGAGCCGCCCGAGAGCCGGTTGGTGGTTGGCAGGACCATGGTGGAAGGGTCAGGAGGGGAGTCACAGCCTTCTGGGGTCACCCAAAGCCATGGGGTGGGTCGTGTGGTGCAGCTTTGGTACTCCATGGAAGCTCTCTGAAAGCAGTTTCATGGCTTCTGTGGAAAAAATAGCGGTACTTTGGTTAACTTCTCCCCGCCTTCCGCGTAGGAGGACTCGAGCACTGTCATCTTCACCCTTCTGGTGTCTTTCTAACACCAACAGCAGGTGAGGCGTGGAAGGAAACTTTGAGCAGAAGGGTTGTGGCAAACCCGAGTGAGTCTGGAGCCCATCCCGGGCAGGCAGGAGGAGGAGGAGACGCGGTGGGATGCATCCCATGGTGTTCCCCCAGTGCCTGACTTGGGTCCCTGGGCTCTAAAAGAGCCAGGGCACAGGTTCTGCACCCTCCCGACCTGGACTGGGCTGGAGGAGGAGGTGGCCTTCCTACAAAACAGCCTTTTTTTTGTTGTTTTTTGATATTGTAGGGGCTGATTCCTCCCGCTACCCCCCCCTGTCTGCCCCCTAAACGCCGTGTGACGCAGGGTTTCCCCCCCGGCCCCGCTCACTGCCTGTGTGGTCTATGCATTTATTAGCACAAACACTGTTAAATGCCTTTTTGTCCAGACGTGTCCTCACCATCCACGTGTGCGTGTCCGTCCGTGTGTCATTTTTGGACCGCTTTTTCTTGGATCTGGAGTTCTATTTTATTGCAGTGAAGACACTTTGTTATATAATGTTTATATATTTTAAGATTTGTGCCAAGAGAGGATGTATATTTAATAAAAAACCTATTAATTGACTTTGCAGGCTCTCCCGGGGTGTCTCCTGCTGTGCCTTGCTCGTGAGAGAAGAGGGGTCTGGCACGTCTGGGTGGGTTTATGGAGGGATTGGACATGACGGGGGGTGTCTGGGGGTGACTGTGCCCTCAACCATGTGGGTCTCCTGTGCGTGGAGCACCCTACGAAGTGCACGGGTGGGTGCTTTTGGGGCTCTGCGTGGAGGTTGGGAGAAGGGAAGCAGCTCTGGAGGTGGGTTCAAAAACCCCTGTGGTTGCCCCAGAGGGGGTCTGCGTTGTCCCCGTCCCCAGCGCGGCGGTGTGGGACGGGGCCGGGTGTGCAATGGCAGCAGGTGGCACTGTCGGCTTAGGCATGGCCCAGCAGCTTCCCCCAAGTTGGGGACCCCCGGCTGCTGCTCAGTTTTTGGGGCTTTCAGGGCTTCCAGCTGCGTTTGGTGTCATTCGGTGTGGCTGTGACACTGCAACACCTGACAAGGTGGCAAGGTTCCATGGGGGAGGACGTGACTAGCCGTCCCCCAGTGACCTCCCTGTGCCCACCGCTGCTCCCTGCAAGCCAGGGCAGAGCTGGTGTCCTGGTTGTGCCCCAGGAGAAGCTGAGACTTGCACCAAACCTTGCAGGAAATCTGTGGCAGAGCTGGAGAAGGGTCCCTTGTCCCCCTCCCTGGGACTGGCTGCCTCTTGTCCCCACCGGTTGAGGGAAGCATCGCTGGTGGAGGGGACCATCCCCCGGGCTGGGCTGGGCTACCAGCCACGGGGAGAGCTGTGGTGAGAAATTTCCTTCTGCTCCAAGCAGGAACAGCTCTGCAGGATGTCAGGATGGGCAAAGGGATCTCATTTTGGATGGGAGCAGGATGGGAAGGATGGGCTCACGGATTCCCTCCCTGCCAGGGCACAAAGGAAGATCTCCAGGACCTGCTGCAATCCCAGCTGGCGGTTTCTTGCCAAGCATGGCCCGGTGGCCACCAAAGGTAGGTGTGGAGCAGGGGTGATGCCAGGCTAGATCTGGGTCATAGCAGGGACTCGGAGAATCACTGACTGGTCTGGGTTGGAAGGGAAGAATCATAGAATGGTCTGGGTTGGAAGGGAATTTAAAGCTCATCCAGTGCCACCCTCTGCCCTGGGCAGGGACACCTCCCACCAGACCAGGTTGCTCCAAGCCCCCTCCAACCTGCCCTTCAACCCCTCCAGGGATGGGGCAGCCACAGCTTCTCTGGCCAACCTGGGCCAGGCTCTCACCACCCTCACACCAAACAAGTTCTTTCCCAGATTTCATCTCCATCTCCCCTCTTTCAGGGTCAAACCCTTCCCCCTCCTCCTATGGCTCCCCTCCCTGATCAAGACCCGGTCTCCCCGGAGCCTTCTCTTCTCCAGGCTGAACCCCCCAACTCTTTCAGCCCGTTCTCCCAGCAGAGGGGCTCCAGCCCCCCCAGCATCTCCGTGGCCTCCTCTGGCCCTTCTCCAACAGCTCCATGTCCTTCCCGAGCTGACTCCTGGTGCCAGTCTGGATCCTGGTGCCAGCAGAACCTCTGCACCACCCAAACCTCTTTCCTCTGGCCCTGCTCCAACAGCTTCATGTCCTTCCTGAGCTGACTCCTGGTGCCAGTCTGGGTCCTGGTGCCAGCAGAGCCTCTGCACCACCCAAACCTCTCGGTGCCAGCATCTGCCCTCTCCTGAGAGCCCCGAGCGTGGCCCTTGGCAGCGCAGAGCCCAGCCCCTGCCCTGGGCTAAATAAAGCCAAGATTCAAAGAGTAAAAAAAAAAAAAAAAAAAAAAAAATTAATTCTGGGGGAAGAGGAAGATGGGGGGAGCCTTTCATTTTATTTGATGTGGCCCAATTTCAGTGCCGGTGGCTGTGTCTCCTGCTCTTGGCTAGTCTATCAGTCATTGTCCCCGCCTGAGAGGGTCACGTCTGGGCAGATCTCAGGGGAGGAACTGTCTGCGTGTCTGGCTGCGGCGCAACCCCCGGCCATGGCAACCCTCCTCCTCCTCAGCCCCCCCCCCGCCCCGGCTGCTTTCCTCCTCACGCTGCAGGAAAATTAGATAAATGAGCCATCAAGGCCGACGGAGCAGCTTTTAATGGGACGGCGGCGCGGGCTGGGACAGGTCCCTCCGCATCCCGGCTCCCGGGGGGAATCCCTTCTTCCCCCAACACCTTTCCACCCACCACGCTGATGGAGCCTCCATCCTTCCTTGGCCCTGTGATGCTTAACCATGCTGCTCTGGGCTCTGGTTTCCCCCCACCGAGCAGATAACGGGGAATTTCCCTTAATTTTCACAGAATCACAGAATCTTCCAGGTTGGAAGGGACCTTAAAGATCATCTTGTCCAACCGTCAACCTCACTGACAAAAATAGACACCCACACAACAAACAAGGAGCATCATCACTAAACCAGACCTCCCAGCACTACATCAACCCGGCTTTTGAACACCTCCAGGGATGGGGCCTCAACCACCTCCCTGGGCAGCCCATTCCAATGCCTGAGAACCCCTTCAGTGAAAAATTTTTTCCTAATATCCAGCCTTTCTGCAAAAAAAGGGCTTTTACTGGGGCTGCAGCTTGGGCTCCGGGGAGCAGGCGGAGGAGGGCTGTCCGGATTAGCCCCCGTTAACACCGGTGGCAAAAGGGCCACCGTCTCATCCCGGCCGGTAGCCAGAGGGAATTAAGCCCATTACAAGGTTATCAAATGGGATCAGAGCCCCTCTCCCTTTCTCCGAGCAGCCCAGACCTGCTAATCCTTTTTCACGCAGCCGGACCAGCACCCACGGGGCGGTGGGGAAAAGCTGGGCTGGATGAGGGGCTGTGTCCCCCCCATGTGTCGTCCCCCCCCCCGCAGCCACCATGGTGTCACCAGCCACCCCAGCGCCCAGGGAAGGAAGGGCTGGGAGCAGGGACCACGATGGGGTTGAATATTGAGGTCTTGAGCACGGTGGGACGAGCTGCAGGGTTTCTTCAAATGTTCATCCTCTTCCCTCTGCTGGAATAATGCGTATGGGGCTCTGCTGCCCACCCCCCTGTCCAAAGGGGACCCCCCCATCGTGCCCCAGGGGCTTTGGGGACACAAAGTGTGAACAAACGGGCAGTTTTCAGCTTGGCCAACAGACTTTGGGCTACTTATTTATTACTAGAAACAGCCAAACTGGGGCTGCTGGGCCTGAGGATTTCACACGAAGCAGAGGGATGGATGACCCCCCCCATGGAGGAGCCTCCACCCAACTGGCCGGAGCAGCGACCCTACAAAAACACACTCGCCCTCAGCCCCTCGGAGGCCAACGTGGGGCAGAGCAAACCCCCGAGGTCTGCGCTGGCCGTGGGTCTCCACCACCCCAGGGCCATCCCCACCGAGTCCACGGACCACCCAGGGCTGGCAGGAGTCCGGGAAAACACAGTGTCACAGTGTCCCCATGGCTAAGAGCAGGGGACAGCGAGCCCAGCTGTGGGGCTGCAGCTCCTCCATCACCCCATGGGGCTGGGAAGGGGGAGAGGGGCCGGAGGGACGCAGCCTGGAGCGGCGGGAGCAGGCACGGTGGTGATGGGTGGCAGGAGTGGGTGATGCCCACACCAGCCCAGAGGCATAAAACCCATCATGCCAAGAGCTGGTGGCAGGAATGTCCCCCACGTGTGCATCCACGTGTGCCACCAGCACGTGCAAAGCGGGGAAACCAGCAAAGGGGGGACCAGCAGCCGGGCAGCGACTGTCCCCCCCAACCCTGAGGCACGTCCCAGCTCCACTTCCCCCCCAAAATTAGGAGGCTGCCAGGTACTGGTGGAAGTAGAGGCCGAAGAGGCTGGTGACCACCTGGCAGGCGGCCACCCACCAGGTGAGGAAGGCGAAGAGTCCACGGAAGAAGAGGGGGGTGAAGATGCCGCCCAAGATGCCCGTGATCTGCTCCACCGCCGCCCGGACCTCCTCCCCATCCTCACCGCTGGGACGTGGTGGTGCCACCATTGCTGCTGGAGGGACTGGAGGGGGCTCCGGGTACAGCCCCCAGGAGTGGTGCCCTGTGTGACAGAGGGGACAGGTCTGTGGGGGTCGGTCCCCCACGCCGCAGCCCCCATCCCTGTCCTACAGACCAGTCCCAGCACCCTCGCTGCACGCCAACTGCAAACCGTGTCTTGAGGGCCTGGGGGACGCCTTGGATGCTGATGGCTTCGTGGTGGCTTGTAGGTCTCATCCTGCCCCTCCTGAGCCCCCCGTGTCCCCTCCTGCCTTCCCCCTGCCACCCCCTTACCCAGTGTCTTGAGGAGCAGCGTGCAGTGGAGGGTGAGGATGATGGGTCCCAGGTACTGCAGGCTGACCACGGAGACGTAGCAGTAGATCCTGGTGATCTGCAGGTGGTGGGGATCGTAGAATGGTTAGAGCTGGAAGGGACCTTAAAGATCATTGAGTTCCAACCCCCTGCCCTGGGCAGGGACACCTCCCACCAGACCAGGTTGCTCCAAGCCCCCTCCAACCTGCCCTTGAACCCCTCCAGGGATGGGGCAGCCACAGCTTCTCTGGGCAACCTGGGCCAGGCTCTCACCACCCTCACAGCAAAGTTCTTCCCCAGATTTCATCTCCATCTCCCCTCTTTCAGTGTCAAACCCTTCGCCCTCCTCCTCGGGCTCCCCTCCCTGATCAAGAGCCTCCCCATCTCTCCTGGAGCCCCTTGAGGGACTGGAAGGGGCTCCAAGGTCTCACTGGAACCTCTTCTCCAGGCTGAACACCCCCAGCTCTCTCAGCCTGTCCTCACAGCAGAGGGGCTCCATTCCTCTGATCATCTTCGTGGCCCTCCGCTGGACCTGTTCCAGTAGATCCATGTCCTTCCTGTGCTGAGGACTCCAAAACTGGACACGGTGCTCCAGGTGGGGTCTCACCAGAGCAGAGCAGAGGGGTAGAATCACCTCCCATGCCCTGCTGGCCACACTTCTCCTGATGCAGCCCAGGACATGGTTGGCTCTCTGGGCTGCTGGCTCGTGTGGAGCTTCTCATCCATGAGCTCTCCCAAGTCCTTCTCCTCAGAGAACAGGCCGGGACCCCCCCTCCCTGTTCCTCATTCCCATCCCAGCTCCCCCATTCCCGCTCCCAGACCTTGCGCTGGATCTCCAGGACAGCGATGCGCCCGGCTTCCTTCCTCATCTGCTCCACCCAGCGCTCGGCCAGGCCCAGGTAGGCCTGGAGGTGGTGACGGGTGACAACCAGGCGCAACAGGCAGAGGCCAACGATGGTCCAGAGGCGTGTGGTGTTGTAGGCAGAGTCCGACATGCTGGGGCAAGAGGAGGGGGGGCTGTCAGGGCGATCCTGGGGTCCAGAAACACCCCCCCTCCTCTCCCAAAGGATGGAAGAGGAGGTGATGGGGAGGAGGAGGTGATGGGGGAGAGGCTACTGATGTCGGAGGAGATGGACTGGTGCCCCCGTGCCTCAGTTTCCCCTCAGAGCAAGGGCGCTGGGGCACAGTGGGACCCGCTGCCCCACTTACATCTGCACTGTCTGCTTGCCCATGGGGGCGTGGAGCAGGAAATCCCGGGAGATGGGCTTGATCCACATCACCACCACCAGGACGGGCGCCAGGAAACTCCCGTGGAGCAGGACCCTGTGGCAGAGCCATCAGAGACCCCCCCCACACCTTGCAGCCAGGTGACCCCCCCAATTCCTACCCCTCCTCCCCACATCCCTCCATCCCTCCCTAGGCAGGGACCCCTCCTCACCCACACCCCCTCCACCATCTCCCACCACCCAACCTCCTCGCCCCACTGCAGCCACAGGGCTGGGGGGCATCCCCGCCCCCCCCCCCCCCCCCCCCCCCCCCTTCCCCCCCCCCCCCAACCCCCCCCCCCCCCGGCCG